CTTTTAAATAGATCAGTGTCTTTATTTTTTCCTCTAGGTACAGTATAAATTTGCTCTTAGATTTTTTTTTTACCTAATTAAATCTGTATTTTTCATAGTTTACCAATAATCATTTCCAGCTGACAATGTGGCGATTTTGACTATGACTTGGAGGGAAAGCAATGCAAGAACTCCCCAGCCACACGAAAAGGGGAGATAATTACTTTGTCTTTGGAAATGAATAAGCATAGTTTGAGGGCAGTTCCTCTGCAGCAATGGATTCCTGAGCCATCTGTCCTGCCTTGAGCAATGACCATGTCAGTCTTCTTCCTCGTTCTCAACAGCCTCCTCCCCAAGTGCCGAACCTCCCTTCGGGGAGACACTCAGTAACCTGTGCTCCAGGAGCAAAGAAGGAATGCCGTTCTCCTGCGCAGAGCAGATAGGTCCGTCCTGGGCCTCGGTGACACGTGGGCTTGGGGAGCACAGCTGAGGTCAGGCTCATGGGAGCAGCGGCCGGGGGCTGGGTGTCCGTCGGTGAGACCCTGACTTGCTTCAGCCAGCCCGGCCCAGAGCAGTCACCTCCTGGCGGGGACCTGGCGGCCGGGCGGCCATGGCTGCCGTTGGTTTTTGAAGACGTTGGGCCCCACAGCAGCCTGGGCTCAGCCCTGCTGTGCAGCACACTTTGCCGACAAGGAGGAGATGCCAACAGCGTTCCAACCGGGCCCAAGCGGAGCTGTGTGCAGGTGGTATCATGGTTAACAATCCTAGTAGTGCAAAAAGAAATCAGAGCAGTAAGTGAGCACACCTCCGAGGCTGTCGCCATAGTCACCACCTCTTCTGTCTCTTTCATTGCCCTGTTTTTGCTCGCAGAGATTACCTTCCTTGCGCCTGGGCTCCCTCGTCCCTTTGCTGATGGGCAGAGCTCTTTCCTGAATTAAGTCAACAAGCCCTTGTAGGAAGAGGCAGCATCTTTTCTGGCAAGAAGATCTGAGCAGAACCAGCCCCAGAAGCAAGTGAGACTGTACGCCAAGCTGTGATTAAGTAGCTGTGATTCAAGACTGAATGATGACCTTCCCAAGCAAATAGTTTCTAAATGTCCCCTCAGCCCACAGCCACAAAACCTGCTGGGCCGGGGGGCCTGCACGGTGGCTCCCCGAGGAGGGGCGGGGGCTGACCCTTGGACAGGAAGCGCCCCTTTGCGCAAGAAAAGCCAGGACCAAGCGGCCACAGCTGCCGACCAATCCTCCTTCGGCAGAGACTGTCTAGGCCTCTGGCTACCCGGAGCTCAGCACTCTGACCCCTGTCGCCACCGTGGCAGAGGTGACATCCCATACTCTCTGAGCTCCGTGTGATCCTGCTGATGCCTATAATTTCCTTTCTCTTTCTCCAACTCAAAAAATAAAACAAAACAAAACACCAGTTGAAATACAGCTGGTAAGAGTGGTGCATTTGTTTTTATTTACTTTAAGAAGGGACAGACATACTTCCCGGAAGTGTGCCGATGAACGGTGGGTGGCCGTCACTGCCGTCAGCACACTGTACAGTACGGCATATTTTGTACCCACAAGTGTGTTTTGCTACCCTAGGCCATTGCAGCCTCTTCCGCATTCTCTCACACGTCCACCTTCTGCCACGTCGCTATAACTTGTCCTGCTCGCAAGGCCTGAACGCCATCCCAGGCCCGGATCCCTGGGAGAGGGGTGCAACCTGAGAGAGTCACAAATACCAAACCCTTGCTCTCATTTACGACCTGCTGTTGGGTTTGGCTGGAATGAAGATTTTTGCAGCATATTTACTGAGGTTAGTTGGCAGGCAAATCCCAAGGAAAGGAAACATTCGCAAGTTTGGGTATGGTTTAGTGTCCTTGGCATACCCGGGCCCAACTGGGGGACTTTACCCCCACTGTTTACGAGGCAGGGGTGTTGAGAAAAAATGAAACATGCAGACTTGAGTGTTAGGGAGGGCCAGGGCTGGATCACGCTTCCTCCTTGGCCCTGGGCCAGTCCTTAATCACTCTTAACAGTCAGGTTTCAGGCTCTAAACCATGAATAGTGGAGTCACTACAAGGTTGAGACAATGGACGCGAAGTGCCCTGGTCATGCCTGGCCCACAGCAGCGCCTAACAAAAAACCTTAAGGAAATATTGATTTCCCCAAACGTCACTGTCTGGCACAGAGGGACCAGTTCGGGTAGGCAGTGAGAGAGTAAGAAGCCTTACTATTTTGGAGGGTGTGGGCACAAACTGAGTGATTATGGGCAGGAGCTGCCTTGGATGAGACACGACAGAGGCAAAAGGAAGAAAACCGTGACAAGTAAGATGCTTTCATGAAATCCATGCAAAAGTTTGGGAACATTTTTGAATAAAGAGATTCAAGGTCTCTCTTAATGCATGCAATTTGAATTGCAAAAGAAACTCAGATTTTGCCTCTGCCATCATGTCAAGCCGACGTTTTGTGATGTTGAGGTAATCCCGTGGCAACTGCTTTTATGACACATTAGAGTAGACATTCTGGCCACTGTTGCCCTGGGTACAAACTCCAAATAGAAGCAGTAAACATGTAAGTATAAATACGAAAATCATTTGTTTAACTGTGACAATTTTAGATAGTTTTTGGCATGCTCGAAGGTACAGAGATTTTTGTGGATGAGTAAAAAATAACTTGTATATTGTTATCCCACTTTGGCTAAGTCTTGGGTGACATTATTAATTTCTTGCAAAATTGGCATGTTCATACATAATACCATGTTATGGGAAAGGAAAGAAATGTTAAAGTTTGCCTCCCTGGAGGGAGTGGGGTTGGAGAAGAGCGTAGCAGACAATTATTTATGGATAATTTTACATGAGTACAATTGTCATGGCTTTTATCTGATGACAGAAACATCCTGTAGTTGCTTATTTTGATGAGCAGTGGCACTAATCCTAGCTTTCTGGTGGCCTTAAACTTTCCAATATCTAATATTTAAATTTGTCTGCAAAGGTGTTTAAAGATCAGGTGTAGTTTGCTGAAGAACTACTACCATTCTCTCACGGGAAGCCCTTCCCGTAATGGGGGGGCCTCACAAAAGGGGGCTTTTAAATTCAGATTCTGAGGGGAGTTCTCAATGATGAAACTTCTCTTTCCGAGGAAGGCAGAGAGCAGCGAGGTTTGCACACTCACAGCCGCCCCTGGGGCCCCCATCCCCAACAGGTCGCCCGACTCTGGTAGAGCTGTCGTGGGACACGCAGACAGACCAGAAGAGTCTAAAGGCCCGGCCAACATCTAATGCCAGAATCCAGTCACGGGCACGAGGCAGGATGTCTGTCCGGCCAACGAGAGGATGCTCTCCATCAAGGGCCGAGAAAGCGGTAATATTTTATATCCAAGCACAACCAACAATCAAATTCCAATCTGCACACAACCATACCCGCCATGGCAGTGTGTGAAGGTATGAGCTTTTCAGAAGGATTTAAGGAAGTCATCATTTTGCTGCAAGGGAAAAAGAAAAAGATGATATTGGCCATATTTTTGCCATGAAGGTTAAATAATGGCTACAACCTACTTCAAAATTCTTAGTGGAAATCAGGTAAATGTGTAGAAAGGGGCTGCTGAAATGATCTGTAGTCTTAGACCAATGATTGTATTCAATTCTTCCAAAACCATAAATCTCATTTTAAATTCTTACTGTGGAATGTGAAAAATATTTTAACTTTTACATATAGTTACCATCTTCATCTTTAGTAAATATACCAAGTCATTAAAGTTTTACCAAAACTTGGTATACATAAAACAAAAAACGGCATGTTCCCCAAGTACCTGTAGAATGTAGAAACAGATGAAGTGAATGGGCTCCTGGATCTTTTACCAGAATAAATGGGCACTTGCCGAAAACTCTCTGCGGACTCCTGTTTTTGGCGGGCTTTTAGTCAGCACTCTCCCGAGCTAAGCGTGTGTGTCTCTCAGATAACAGCAAGGACACACTTGGATCACAAGGCTCAACCCCGCACACTGCAGGGGCGCTGGGACCTTGACCCTCATGCCTCATGCAACAGTGAAGCAGCCGAGAAAAAATGCAAGTCAAGAGGTACCTTTCAAAATATTATCAGCTATGGATCGTCGTAATGGAGTTCTGAAAAAAATTAAGCAATTTGCCAAGAAAGATCTTTCTAGGCCATGTCAGAAGGACTGTGGACTGATTTTGCAGCCTCTAGTTTAGCAGAGAATTAGCGCTCGTCCCACCCCAACCTCCTGATCTTTACGTCACACAAGAGGCCTTCCTACATCTGAGCTTGGAACTGCTTAATGGCATCATGTCCGCGGTACTTAGGTTGCGCACAGGACCCTCATCTCCACTGCCTTCTGTTAGGAAGAGCGGCCCTTCCTCTGACTGGTTCTTTCAGCTGCTCTAGACCCAAGACCCTGTTAGTTCAGAGACCACGATTGCCCTTTCCCCCATCCTTAAGGAATCAGGAGCAATATCTGGTCAAAAGTAAGTCTCGTGGTCAAGTTTCACCAAGCTGAGACACTGGATGTATCAGAAATGGTGAAGTTTAAAACGTGCTCTAAAAATAACGTGCCCGGATGGCAGCCACCATGGTAAGCCTTTTCCTCCCCAGGCCTGAAAATAAACCCCCTCACTCCATCGAGAAATAGCTCCAAACTTAGAGTGCGTGCTGAAAATATTCCTGATGAAATCATAACCCTATATTTATAGTCTTTTGGGCTGCGCCTGAACTTCTGTTTCCCATGGCGCTTGCCGACGAAGGGGCCGGGCGTGGAAAGCGGACTCAGAGGACTCGCGAGGGCACTGGCCTCAGGGAGGTGCTGCTTGTCCTCATTTTGAACAGGATGGTTGTGCGACATCCTCCCTCCTCCCTGGGCCCTACCCACTGCCCAAGACCCGGTCTCCTCCCCCAGTGCATTCCCAGATGGCCAGGTTGGAGGGTCCTGTCTTATCACCCAGGAAGAGAGAACTGGCCTTTCCCAGAGGAAGGGGCAGGGTGCCTAAGATCACCCTGGCCTCCTTCTGGCCTGTCCTGTCCTCTAGACTTCCTCTCCATTCTCACTGAGGGAGATGGTGTGGATCTTAATGGCTGGCACTTGGTGGTTCTCTCCCTGGCCGGGGGGCGAGGGCCCCACGCAGCAGCAGACCTGCATGAAGCCTTTACTTCGCCCGCGGACTGTGCAGGCTGCCTGGTCTTTGGGCACTGCGATCCTGGCAGGTCCGCGGGGCAGCGAGGAGAAGAACTTCCATTCGCAGACCCCGTCTGTCCTGGAGATCTTGTAGAAGGTCTCTCCGGACCCCACGGGGATGCGTACCAGGTCCTTGTGCTGCCCCTCCAGGGCGTGGCTGGGCGGGTGCAGGGTGTAGCCCAGTGCCCGCTTGGAAGACTGCTTTCTCCGGAGGCACTGGATCCTCAAGACGTTCTGAAAGGCCTTTTTAAACTCTTGACTGGAGCATGGGTATATAATGGGGTTGATGCAGCTGTTTAGGTATCCGAGCCAGAAGGCTATTTTAAAAACTGTTTCAGAGGGCTTGAAATCAGGGAAGAAAGACCCTGGAAGAAAACACACAGATTCATACATATTATTTGCAAGCCAGCTGGCCAATGGTCTAGGAAAACAAGCAAACAAACCATCAAACATCCTTTTACATTTTTTGAGTTTCAAATGATTCCAAGTGCATTTGAGTTCCCCACATTTGACTGACTAGCCCTGGTGAACGTAACTCTTCACAATACCCTCGAGACGATTCTCATTTGTCCCCACGTGCAGCGTCCATCACAGGGGCAGACCCGTGGGAGGCCCGCTCTGTCCTCCACGACAGAGCGCCCCTCGCTGTCTGCTGTGAGGCTTCACATAATGAAAACTCAAGCCCTAGGCTGAGTCTACCTACGCAGACTGTTTTGCCTGAATTTAAAGACAAATTGGAATTCATTAGAAAAATCCATATCAAAATGGGCTTATTTGAATATTCCCTTTGTTCTTTAAAGCAATGTTATACAGATGCAGCCTAAATAGTTAATAATTCCTCCTCTCCTGAATGTTGGAATTATATATTTTAATGAGAAGTCAAAATTTATAGAATGTTGGCTTTGCCAACTTTTAGCCAGTGATTTTCAATTACACTGTAAATTCGGTTGTCCACCTACTGTGCTTAGAGTTTTTTGATGGTGCAAATTCAGTAGAAGCTGCACTTTGAAGTTTGAAGTTCGGCCTTTTCCTGGGCTGGTGATATGTGGTACGATACTCTCTCATGATGTGGCCAGAGGCAGCAAGATGATTTTGCCCAGCTGTAGGCTAACGCCAGGGTTCTGAACACATTTAAGGTCGGCTAGGCTAGGCGAGGCGAGGCTATCATGTTTGGTAGGTTAGGTATGTTAAATGCGGTTTTGATATATGATTTTTTCAGCTTGCGGTAGGTTTATGGGGATGTAACTCTGCTGTCAGTTGAGGAGCATTTGTGTTTTCCTCCAAGCATGTTGCAATATTGCTTCCCTGCTCAGCACCCTCCAGTGGCTGCCCGCTGCCCAGTGCTTACAAAATGCTTGCCAGCCGCTTGACATGCGGGGTCCTCCACAGGACTCACCCCAACCTAACCTGGCTTTCTGACACCAGCACTTTCACTCAAACCAGGCTCACGACAAACTTGGAGACAAGCCATTGATCTTTTTTTTTTATTCTCTTGAGTTGGGTCCCGACGCCTAAAATGCCCTTTCCCATGCTCTTTACCTACTCAAGCCTCCTTCATTAGTTCACAAAGCAGGAGTCAAGTTTCAGACCTTTTTAAATCTTGAGCAGTAGCTGTCACATAGCTGTTGGCTGCAGAATAACAAGCATGGAACCTTAAAGTAGGAAAAATCTTGGGGATTATCTTCTTCGATTACTCAACTTCCAAATTACAATAATGATGATTAGAGAGGTTGTCCCCCCTTGAGAGCTGAGGCTCTAAGGCAGTGACGCAGAAGGGGACCCAGGGCCCCCAGCGCAGCGGTCTTTGTTTTCTGCGCAGCTTTTGCTTCTGCTTCAGCCTAAGGCCTTGATTTTATGCTTTTCTTTTCCTCTCTGCTCTGTGGACCCACGAGAGCCATGACAAACTGATGTGTGCCCTTAAATCTAGCCAACAGTGCCCTAAAATTTAGTAGAGGATCTCATGAATGTAAACAAAGAGTAAACTTAGATGTTGACAAGAGGACAAAACGGTGCAGAGGTGACGGGAGCGTTTACTGCCCCTGACACATGCTCCCTGCTCCATCCAGTGCATCTCAGAGAAACACACACACACACACACACACACACACACACACACACACACACGTGCGCGCATGCGCAGGAGGTTGCAGAGTGAGCGTGTTCTTCAGCTCCAAAGCTTCCCATGGTTTCTTATGACAGAATTTACTCATGTGGAGTGCCTGGTTTGAGCCCCGCTCCATGCTAAACACCTTGCACACAATGTCACCGTCATCAGTAACGTCCCCATTTTACACAGGAGGAAACAGCGGGTTAGTGAGGGCGAGTCAGTTACCTAAGGTCACTCAGGCAGCTGGTTGCTGGCAGAGGTGGGATTTGCTATTAGACCGTCTGAGTTTAGGGCCTAGTTCCTTTATGGAATCTCAAAACAGATTTGAAGACTACCTCTCTTGGGAAGGAAGATGTTGAATAGAGTGGTGAAGTGGAGATTTGCAGGAGGCTGAATTAGACAGATGCTTTTTCTTTTCTTTTAAATTTGAATTGGCTTCAAGCGTATAGCATAGTGGCTAGATAATCATGCACTTTACACAGAGATCCCCTGACATTTCCAGTAGCCGCCTGGCCCCACACATAGTTACAATACCATCGACTGTGTTCTCTACGCTGCACTTACATCCCTGTGAGTTTTCTGTGACCACCAATCCGTACTTCTCAATCCCTTCACCTTTTTTCACCCAGTCCCCCAAACCGCCTCCTGTCTGGCATCCCCCCGGTCAGCTCTCTGTGTCCATGAATCTGTTTCAGTTTTGTTGGGGTTTTTTTTTCATTTATTTTGGGGGAGGATGCTTTTTCAAACTTCATTTGAGATGTGGAGAAAGAGGCAAGGCCAACGGGACTGGTGGTTTTATGGGAATATGTTTCAGAAAAAATTCTTCTTACATTATGATCCCAGTATACGGCCTGATATTTCCTCCTAAGGCAATTGCGACATGACTACGGGAACCCACGTCACGAAGGCGCGCCTTGGCCTGGGCGTCACGAGAACACACAAGCGGGACGCCAAAACCTCCCTCGTCTGAGAACTTCACTATCCTGTAAATCAGTTGGGAGAGTGGTGCTTTTTTCCTATTTTAAGAGTTTTAATGAAAAGAAAAAGAAAAAAGTACATGAAGCATGAATGTGAATGCTAATAAAGTGATGTGGCCTTCTTGGAATCCCCCCAATTCTGTCAAGAACACACTTTTGCTTACAGAACCCAGATCTGCGTGCACAAATACAAACCTGCAGCTTCCTCTTGGTCCGTCTCCCGCCTGTCTCCCCTCCCCGAGCCCCCTCATCCCAGGCCTGCAGACTGAGAGCTGAGCTCCCGGCCTCCCCCCCACCGTCGCCTTCTGGGCGTGCCCATGGCTTCCGAGGTCAACACCGGTCCCCCCTCCAGGTGCCCCGCTCAGAACACCTGCTTCCTCACTGAATCGGGGCTGGAGGGTGAGAAAAGAGAAGGTTGAAGTGATTTCACACTTGGATGTAAATGTCAGTCTCCAGCTTTAACCTTCTGGGGATGCTGTTTTGCTAATCCAAGCAAATCTCTTTTCAGACAGTAAGTTAGAGATGCTTCCGGACCAGAGGCCTTCCCTTAAATGTCATCATTTTGTTTATCCTGTTAAGTGGCACCTAGATATGTCCAAACGCAGCACGACGGACCTGCCCCCCTTTAGCCCTTCCACAGGGGCGGGGCGTGCGATCCCCTCCTCTTGCTTCTGTCGTCCGACCCGCCTTCTGGGTGATTCTCTCTGGGCAGGTGCTGGATGTGGAGGAGAGGGACTCATGACTGTGTTTCCTTCAGGAACTTTCCAAAAGGTGTTTCCCTGCTTACTTGCATGCTTCACATCCTTAGATCTCTTTCTTGCCTTCATTCTCCTTCCTCGGAAGCGGAGACTTAGCTTGGGAACGGCAGCTGCTGCCTGGTCCCCATCAGTGTCCCCCGTCCCGCTAGCTATTCCGTCCAAACGTGCGTGCCCGGGGACTGCTCTGAACCCTTCACTGTTTCCACGCCCACCTCACCTTCTCCTCAGATCCCTTACTTCTCAGTGATGATGATGACGCTTTGTGGAGTGGGAAGGCAACCGAATCCCGCTCCTCCCTGTCGCCACCCGGTTTAGGGATCGATGCCTCCGACCCAGTCACTAGGCCGTGAACTGATTGGGGCAGGTACCGTGTTAGTTTGCTTACTCACAGAGCTGCAGAGCCTGGCACGGTGCTGGCTTCTCCAACGTATCCTCTCGGTTTCTGCCCGACGCATGGCTGGCTCCTTAGCTGACTGAGTGAAAGCACGTGTCTCCCTGACCGCTCAGGCCCCCGCTTCCCCCGGGACCTGGCTTTCTCCTTGCCTGGCAGCTGCAGACCCACCCCGCCCCCACTCTACCAACCTCCCCTGCTCTCCCGTTGTATCTTTCCTCCTTTCCTCCCAGTTTCTGCGTCATCCTCCGGTATTTTCTGTGATGGCATTTCCCTTTTTTTTTTTCCCCCTTGCTGCATTTACTGGTGCCTAGTGTTTCTCACATGCTTCACAGACAGAGCCAGACCTTTGAACTGTCCACACGAGCATAAGGACTCCTGTGTCTCTTGTCCCCGAAGGTATGTTGTGCTCCTCAGCAACCTCTGCTCAGACTCTGCTTCCAGGTCGGGTTGTCCTTTTACGTGAATCGGCCTGGATTAATTCTTAACTTCAGAAAATCTCCAAGCCTTCCAGGGCTCTTCCCTTCACAGAGTTCCTTCCTCTATCTCATCTGCTGCAGGATCTCTGGCCCTTTTCTCTTCAAGATGCTCCAAACACCCTGGTCATCGAGAACCTGGCCAGACCGACCCATGTGAACACGTGTTTATCCCTGAGCACCATCCACGCCATCTCTGCTGGGGGTTCAGAATCGCCACCTCCTCTTTCAAGTCCTCTGGATTCCAAAGGGAAATGGAAATTTACAATTTCAAATGACACCACTTATGCATCCTCGTTCAATGTCCTCTCCATTGGGAACACCTGACTTCATCTGTGATCTGGGCTCATCTGTAGACTAACGATGGGGGACGCTGGTAGCCAGCCTAGTCGAAACTTGGCCACTAGAGTCACATTTTAGCTCAAAGTTATAGTAAAGTTTGCTCTCAATGTCCCCAACATGGGAGCAAAGCATTTTTCAGCCAGTGCGGGTCTCCTAAGTGAGTTTTTTCCACGAGGAAGGACAAGTGTGGAGTTCTCGAATTCCAGCCCGGCGCCGGCAGTTAGAGGGCTCCTCCTCCGCTCCCCTCTTTCAGAGTCAGCGTGGCTCGGTGTGCAAGCAGAAGACAGTGAGTCAGTCATCTTGGTCCCAACGTC